TAGGTAATATTCTTACATGTCTCTCCTTGTTATGTGGGTTGGAAGGTGTTGTTAGGAGGTGGGTGAACTGCTGTAATGCCTAGGTAATATTTTTTTTGTCTGTGACAATCAGTACTTCTGAATTGGTAGTAGAATAGTAGGGGTGGTGTTAGTACTTTTGAGTAAACAGCATTATGGCAACAATAGGTGAGACTAGTTGTGATAAAAAATCAAATGTGATGATAAATCCGGATTTTCTTAGTGCACAAATGACATGAATCAAACTTAATGGTGAGAATTATGTGCCATGGACCCAATCAGTGGAGGTTTATCTTAGGGCAAGGAAAAAAGTGAAGCATGTAAAGGATGAGAAACCCTCAATTAAATCTTCAGGGCATAGTAAGTGGGAGAAGGAAGATGCTCGGATTATGACATGGTTATGGAATAGTATGGAGCCCAAAATAAGTGTAAACTTTATGTTTCTTGATACAGCGAAGGAGATATGGGATCATGCTAAGAAACTCTACTATAGTCAAAATAACACCACAAGGGTATACCAATTCTACCAAGAGTTTTTTTTTTTTTTTTTTTTGCAACAAGGAAATCGAAGTCTTGAAAAATACTATGATAGTATGAGAAACCTCAGAAATGAACTCAATGTTTACCATCCCTTAACTTAATGTTAAAATTCAACAACAACAGAGGGAACAACTTGATGTGACTAGATTTTTGGTGGGTTTGAAGTCGGGATATGAACCAGTTAGAGCACAGATATTGGGGGGTTCTTCTCTTCCCTCTCTTGAGGTGTTTCCTCAACTTCATAGGATTTCATTTGGACCTACAGAAAACACAACTGCTCCTGATAAGTCAGCATTTTTTGTAACAAGAGGAGGAAGGCCATGGTAATCAAGGTGGTGATTATGAAATTAGAGGAGGCCATGCTAGTCCTATGTTTAGCCAAGGTGATGGAGGTAATGGTGGTCGGGATTCAAGGGGAGGTCATGGTAGAGGACAAGGCAATGGTCCTAGGAAGTGCACATATTGTGGTATGAAGGGTGTATGGAGGGATATACAATGAACTTTTATGATCTACAAGGCTACCCCCATGGGAAAATCACGTTGTAGCAAATGGTGGTGAAGTGGATGATAATTGGAAATCTGATCAAGCATCTCCTACATCTATTGCTAGGAAAGAGATGATGAGTGTTCCTCGTGAAAAATATGAGATGTTTCTCCCAGGCTACATCCCAACAAACCATAACTACTCTTGCTCACTCAAGTATGGCTTGTCTGGCATCCAAACCCTCTCCTCCAGATTATCAATTCTAAGACTCTAATCATATGACTGGAACTCCAGGTGTGCTCTCTTCGCTCCACCTCACACACTGTTACTTTAGCAAATGGTTCTAATCTCCCATTTTCGGTGTTGGTAATGTTGACATTGCATCTTTGTCCTTATCATCCATTTTATATGTACCTAAATTTCCTTTTAATCTTATGTCTATTAGCAATTAACCAAATCCCTCAATTGTTCCATTACTTTTTACCCATCCTTGTGTTTTTCAGAATTTCAATACGGGAAAGAAGATTGGTAGAGGGCATGAAACTGGTGAATTGTATTATCTTGATGGTGGTGGCCTTACAATAGCACTTCAGTCTTCCTTACTCCTTTCCAATGGCGTTGTAGGCTTGACCATCTGTATCTCAAAGCTCTCAAACAACTTGTTTCGTCATTGAGTCGTCTGTCATCACTACAATGTGAGTTGTGTCAGTATGGGAAACACCATCAGGTTTCCTTTAGTCATGATGATTAGAGTTCTTTTACTTTAGTCCATTCAAATGTTTAGGGTCCGAATAGAATTGTGTCCTATAATGGTTAAAAATATTTTGTAATTTTTGTTGATGATTATTCAAGGATGACATGCATTTATCTTATGAAAGAAATAAGTGAATTATCCTCTATTTTTCAAAAGTCCCATGCTGAAATTCGCACTCAGTTTGATGTTCCAATAAAAGTTCTTCGTTCTGATAATGACAAAGAGTACTTTCTCACCTTGTTGCAACAATATTTGGAGCATCAGAATATTATTTGATAGAATTCAGGTATATAGTGTTCTTATATTTCGAAATAATAAGGAGAAGAGGAACCTATAGAAACAATAGAGAGAAGAAAAGAGAGGAGAAGAGAAAACAGGCCTAGTCAAACTAGAGAACTACTCTCTCTAGTTGACCAGGTTTTATTTATACATTTCTAAAAAACAAATCAGAATTACTCTTGTGCCCTCACTTAAGTGAGAGACACATCAGCTAACTTAAGACCTACTTGTAATTACATCCAACATATAACTTAATGTAAATTGCCTATACTACCCCTCTATGGCCGACTTTAACACTCCCCCTCAAGCTGGTGAGTATATGTCATATAGTCCCAGCTTGTTACATATGTACTCCACTCTTCCCCAACTCAACCCTTTGGTAAACAAATCTTCCCATTGATTTCTTGTGTTCACATATGTTGTACTTATCACTCCATTAAGCACATTCTCTCGTACAAAGTGGCAATCAACTTCTATATGCTTTATTCTTTCATGAAACACCGGATTAGAGGAA